AGATTGGAAAGCTGCCGCGGTCATCCCCCTCTTCAAAGGGGGTGACACTCTAGATCCAAACTGTTACAGACCCATATCCATCCTGCCCTGCCTTTCAAAAGTTTTTGAAAGCCAAGTCAACAAACAGATCACCGACCATTTCGAATCCCACCGTACCTTCTCCGCTATGCAATCCGGTTTCCGAGCTGGTCATGGGTGCACTTCAGCCACGCTCAAGGTCCTAAACGATATTATAACCGCGATCGATAATAGACAGTACTGTGCAGCCGTTTTCATTGACCTGGCCAAGGCTTTCGACTCTGTCAACCATCGCATTCTTATTGGCAGACTAAATAGCCTTGGTTTCTCAAATGACTGCCTCGCCTGGTTCACCAACTACTTCTCAGATAGAGTTCAATGTGTCAAATCGGAGGGCCTGTTGTCTGGACCTATGGCAGTCTCTATGGGGGTGCCACAGGGTTCAATTCTTGGGCCGACTCTTTTCTCTGTGTATATCAATGACGTCGCTCTTGCTGCTGGTGACTCTCAGATCCACCTCTACGCAGACGACACCATTTTGTATACATCTGGCCCTTCATTGGACACTGTGTTAACAAACCTCCAAACAAGCTTCAATTCCATACAACACTCCTTCAGTAGCCTCCAACTGCTCTTAAACACTAGTAAAACTAAATGCATGCTCTTCAACCGAACGCTGCTTGCACCCGCCCACCCGACTAGAATCACTACTCTCGACGGGTCTGTGTATGTGGACAACTACAAATACCTAGGTGTCTGGTTAGACTGTAAACTCTCCTTCCAGACTCACATTAAGAATCTCCAATCCAAAGTTAAATCTAGAATCGGTTTCCTATTTCGCAACAAAGCCTCCTTCACTCATGCTGCCAAACATGCCCTCGTAAAACTGACTATCCTACCGATCCTTGACTTCGGCGATGTCATTTACAAAATAGCCTCCAACACTCTACTCAGCAAATTGGATGTAGTCTATCACAGTGCCATCCGTTTTGTCTCCAAAGCCCCATATAATACCCACCACTGTGACCTGTACGCTCTTGTTGGCTGGTCCTCACTACATATTCGTCGCCAAACCCACTGGCTCCAGGCCATCTATAAATCACTGCTAGGCAAATCCCCGCCTTATCTTAGCTCATTGGTCACCATAGCAACACCCACCCGTAGTCTGCGCTCCAGCGGGTATATCTCACTGGTCATCCCCAAAGCCAACACCTCCTTTGGCCGCAATTCCTTCCAGTTCTCTGCTCCCAATGACTGGAACAAATTGCAAAAATCTCTGAAGCTGGAGACACTTATCTCCCTCACTAACTTTAAGCATCAGTTGTCAGAGCACCTTACCGATCACTGCACCTGTACACAGCCCATCTGAAATTAGCCCGCCCAACTACCTCATCCCTATATTGTTATCTATTTTGCTCATTTGTACCCCAGTATCTCTATTTGCACATCATCTCTTGCACATCTATCATTCCAGTGTTAATACTAATTGTAATTATTTTGCACTATAGCCTATTTTATTGCCTACCTCCATAACTTGCTATTGCAATAATGTCATTTGTGGAACATGAGTTTAATGACGCATGCTTATCTTCATCGCCAAAGTCAACTTGCTCAACTGTTACGCAAGGGAAATAAAAATATAAAGTCTCTATAGCATAATGTCATTTGTGAACATAGTTTAATGGACCGACTTCATCCCAAGTCAAGCACCGCCCCAAAACATATATTTTTATAGGCGTTACTGTGCAATAGGAAGTAACTAAAGGCGCCAGCAATTCTTAAATGTCCTACATGTCATCATGATACCTAAATGCTATTTTTTGAGTTTATTCTGCTGATCTATGTATTTGTATATGTATTTGTATCTATATTGTAACAATTGTTGGGTCACTAATGTTTTTATTACCACTATGTACCATCCTCACACAGGTGTGGGCAATTGTAATTATCACCTATGCATCTGCATATGAAAAACTATGGTTTGGCACATCTCTTGATGCTCTGATGAAGTCATAACTGCCGAAACGCGTTAGCCTGCCATCCGAAAATAAAAAGGTGAAATTAGTTGACGTCTTTTTGTCCTTTAAAAAAAAAATAACGTTTTGGAGTGCCCCCGTTTCCCAATGTTCTTGAACTAGGGATTTCATTTGAAATCCACACCTGTTGTTTACAAAGCATGTGACGAATAACATTTGATTTGATTTGGTATAGAAAATGGGAAATGGCTGTAATCTTAGTCATGACACTAATTATACGAGAAATTCTGACAGCCAAGTATTTTTTTATTTGTATTTTTTAGAGATCCCCATTAGCTGCTGCCAAGGCAGCAGCTACTCTTCCTGGTGTCCAAACATATTAAAGCACTTACATTACATATAAAACAAAATATAAAACAGTACATCGTATTACATTATTACACCACTACTTATCTACAATACAAAATGTTTAATACCACCATACAACAATATCACAATGTGTGTGTATTCATGTGTCTATACCCTTGTGTGTGTCTCTTCACAGTCCCCGTTGTTCCATAAGGTGTATTTTTACCTGTTTTTTTTATCTGATTCTACTGTACCTGATGTGGAATAGAGTTCCATGTAGTCATTGCTCTATGTAGTACTGTGCACCTCCCATAGTCTGTTCTGGACTTGGGGACTGTGAAGAGACCTCTGGTGGCATGTCTTGTGGGGTATGCATGTGTGTCTGAGCTGTGTGCTAGTATTCCAAACAGACAGCTCGGTACATTCAACTTGTCAACACCTCTTACAAAAACAAGCAGTGATGAAGTCAATATCTCTTCCACTCTGAGCCAGGAGAGACTGACATGCATGTCATTAATGTTAGCTCTCCGTGTACTTTTAAGTTGGCCAGAGGGCGACTCACAAAAAGCCTGAACTCGCACTTGACTGTGTGTGTGTGTGTGTGTGTCTTTTGGAAACGAAGTCTCCTCATCCTACGTCTTTTCAGCCTTTATAAGAAGCTCAGTGAAAAAATAAAAAATAGAACGGTCATGGAAAATTGATCGGTGTAAATGTGCTAGCCTTGGCAGTTATTTCCAGAACTGGACACAGTCTTTTACATAGTCCTGGCTGGTCTTACAGTGTTCATTGTACTGCCTTTTTGGGGTTTTTACATAGTTTATAAGAAACTAATTGTCTATATGAGACTCATGCAGAATGATAAACTGACAATTGATTGTGGGAGTAAAAATAATGTCCTAGGGCTAAGTTAGGACAAGTTAACACAGGACTAACATATGTTATCCATTGGTTTGAAGTGATGAAGGACTAATTTATTGGGTGCATTTGGGTTGTTCCAGCTCCAAACAGTCAGCATCTCAAGAACGAGCCAAAACTCCTCCTTCAGCGCTGCATCAGATTACATTTTCCAAGTCATGAAAAAAGGTTTCCAAGTAAAAGCTTTGTCTTCCATCTTGTGGACTCTTGACAGAACTTCATAAAAATGGACAGATCAGATTTGAAAAATGTGATTAATCACTAAAGGCTGCAGATCAGCTTAATTTTACATTTTAAGAACACAAATAGATATTAAAATATATTTTGGTGTTTGCCACTTAACTTTGACCACAGTTGTGGCTCTCCACTGATCATTGGTTGAAGATCAAGAGTAACAATCCTGTTTTATAAATTCAACATAACAGAAAAGATGCCCAGAGACACTACATATACAAAAGTATGTGGACACCCTTTCAAATGATTGGATTCGGCTATTTCAGCCACACCCGTTGCTGACAGGTGTATAAAATCGAGCAATCATAGACAAACATTGGCAGTAGAATGGCCTTACTGAAGAGCTCAGTGATGAATCACGGTTCACCATCTGGCAATCCAACGAACTAATCTGGGTTTGGCGGTTGCCAGGAGAATGCTACCTGCCCCAATGCATAGTGCCAACTGTAAAGTTTGGTAGAGAAGGAATAATGGTCTGGGGCTGTTTTTCATGGTTCGGGCTAGGCCCCTTAGTTCCAGTGAAGTGAAATCTTAACGCTACAGCATACAATGACATTCTAGACGATTCTGTGCTTCCAACTTTGTGGCAAAAGTTTGGGGAAGGCCCATTCCTGTTTCAGCATGACAATGCCCCCGTGCATAATGCGAGGTCCATACAGAAATGGTTTGTCGAGTTCGGTGCGGAAGAACTTGGCTGGCCTGCACAGAGCCCTGACCTCAACCCCATCGAACACCTTTGGGATGAATTGGAATGCCGACTGCAAGCCAGGCCTAATCGCCCAACATCAGTGCCCGACCTCACTTATGCTCTTGTGGCTGAATGGAAGCAAGTCCCCGCAGCAATGTTCCAACATCTAGTGGAAAGCCTTCCCAGAAGAGTGGAGGCTGTTATAGCAGCAAAGGGGGGACCAACTCCATATTAATGCCCATGATTTTGGAATGAGATGTTCTATGAGCAGGTGTCCACGTACTTTTGGTCATGTAGTGTATAAACCCATTCACCTTGCCGCTCTGTAATCACAGTCTTGCACTATTTCTAGTGCACAATAGGTGAGGAGAGCCTTTGAGCCCGCACTCCGCCAATCCCTCTCACTGCTAATGAGATTTACTCTTGGCACAAGAAACGACTGGGACAATGGTGGTGTCTAGACGAGCCATGTGTCTGGCTCACTAAGAATGGCGCTTCAGAGAGGCCTGTGCTAATGAAGAGGAGGGTCTGCCAACAGAATGAGCCTCAACGATATGAACTGTGCTAAAAATATCAGCTCAATGAAACGATTATTCATTATTCTTATCTGAGAGATTCTGATGGGCTCACAGATCCCAGATTCCCCAATGTGCTCGAGACACCATGTTGTTTTCTCCTCATATTCATGGAGAGATAATATTTTAAAATTCTGTCTGTTCCCATTTAACTTTGAATTCAGCTATCTAGTACATCAACATATAGGTCAGGATAATGCAAGAAGATGAAGAAGTTCAGAACACAACAGATCCTTTTTAACATTATCTTTATTGAACATAGGTCAAGGGAGACAGTCATGCAGCACAGATGGAAAGTGTGGGTATTATCAGCATGAACTGTTCCCTGGTAGAGCTGCAGGGGGTCTGCTCACTGTTTGAAGCCCTTAAACTGAGCAGAGGACCACACCTACTCTCCGTCCCTCTCCACCACCATGGTACCATCGTTGTGCAGCCACATGCGGCACATCTTGAAGCCACCGGACGCTGGAAACTTGGTCTGCCACATCATCTTGTTGTCCTTCTTGTACATGACAAAGTTGCAGTCGTCCTGCATGCACAGGCTGTAGGCATCACGCTGACCGGCGGTGTCGGAGTTCCACATGGGCTTCCAGCCGTAGATCACAAAGTTTCCATCCTCCTGTGGAGATAAATAAAATGGATACATGCATGTAACTACATAGCTCCAAAGTAATGGGAAAACTTAAACCTTACATCTTCTATGGACTTCCCAAAAATAACACTTTCAAGTAGGCACATAGTGTTTCTCAAGTTCTACACACGTACCTGCAGGCCTTCCACTCGTGGTTGTTGGACATAAGGTAGTCTCCCTTACGCATCTTGTCAAACTTGGACATATAGTTTCTGCTCATGATTCTGAAATGAGAAGTTCAGCAGAGATGACAAACAAGCAATTGGAGGCATTGCTTTTGTCAGTTTCCCAACAGAAACAGTTCAGGGCTGATGCACTGTCACACTCAACAGATTGAAAGTCCTCAGTAGTAGATGTAGGCCTAAGACACAGATAGAACATAGAGATTATGAGGTGAGATAGATAGATAGATAGATACAGTCGCTTGCGAAAGTATTCACCCCCCTTGGCATTTTTCCTATTTTGTTGCCTTACAACCTGGAATTAAAATGGATTTTTTGGGGGTTTGTATCATTTGATTTACACAATATGCCTACCACTTTGAAGATGCAAAATATGTATCATTGTGAAACAAACAAGAAAGTCAATACTTTGTAAAGCCACCTTTTGCAGCAATTACAGCTGCAAGTCTCTTGGGGTATGTCGCTATAAGCTTGGCACATCTAGCCACTGGGATTTTTGCCCATTCTTCAAGGTAAAACTGCTCCAGCTCCACAGTGGAGATTGGAGTATCTGTCCATATCTGTCCATAGGACCACTTTCAATGTGGCACCGTCATGGGATGCCACCTTTCCAACAAGTCAGTTCGTCAAATGTCTGCCCTGCTAGAGCTGCCCCGGTCAACTGTAAGTGCTGTTATTGTGAAGTGGAAACATCTAGGAGCAACAACGGCTCAGCCGCGAAGTGGTAGGCCACACAAGCTCACATAACGGACCGCTGAGTGCTGAAGCACGTAGAGTGTAAAAATCGTCTGTCCTTGGTTGCAACACTCACTACCGAGTTCCAAACTGTCTCTGGAAGCAACGTCAGCACAATAATTGTTAATCAGGAGTTTCATGAAATGGGTTTCCATGGCCGAGCAGCTGCACACAAGCCTAAGAACACCATGCGCAATGCCAAGCGTCGGCTGGAGAGGTGTAAAGCTCGCCGCCATTGGACTCTGGAGCAGTGGAAACGTGTTCTCTGGAGTGATGAATCACGCTTCACAATCTGGCAGTCCAATGGACGAATATGGGTTTGGCGGATGCCAGGAGAACGCTACCAGCCCGAATGCATAGTGCCAACTGTAAAGTTTGGTGGAGGGGAATGTATGTGTAGTTCATCTGAAACATTCTTAAGAGAGTTTGAAAACAACATGTATTACGTTTTGCCTGTATTAAGCACAAGTTTTAAATCAGCAAGGGATTCCTGCATAGCTATAAAATCGGACTGTAGTTTTGACACAGCCAGATCAACAGTCGGGGCAGTAGCATACATAATAGTATCCATTTTTTACAGATTGACCAATGGTGTTTATATAAATAGTGAAGAGAACAGGTCCCAAAATCAATCCCTGTGGTATACCTTTATGTACTTAAAGATTTAACCCCATCAATCACGATGGCCTGAGTTCTGTCATTAAGATAATCATGAAACCATGAAAAGGCGTCAGACCTCAGGTCTATCAAGGACAACTTATTCAAAAAAATAGCATGATCAACAGTGCCAAAAGCTTTTGACAGGTCCACAAACAAAGCAACACGCCTCATTTTAGTGTCTAAAGCGTTGTTAAGATCATTAAGAACTAAAGTGGTTGCTGTAATAGTGCAATGCCCAGGCCTAAACTCTGGTTGGTTTGTATTCAAAATACATTTCTCAGATAAAAAAGAGCAAAGTTCATTTATGAAGGATTCAAGAATCTTAGCTAGACAAGGAAACCTTGAAATGGGGCGATAATTATTAAGATCACTACTATCCCCGCCCTTATGGAGTGGCAGCACAAGAGCTGATTTCCATACTTTTGGAATATTTCCTGATAACAATGTTAAATAGAAAATGTGGGTTATTGAGCCAACAATGATGGGCACTGCACACTTAAGCAGACCGGGATCCAATTGGTCAGCCCCTGTGGATTTCTTGTTGTCTATTCCTAGAAAAGCATCCAGGACTTATTTTTCTGTATATAGCATAAAATTGCGGCGTCTAGGCCATAATTAACATTTGATTGCACTTATGCAATAAATAACCTGGAGGCTGATGGAACTTTGTAAATTACCTGTACCATTCTACACAATGCAGCCTTACTGGCATAGAAATCTGGCACAGCAAACAAAAGCTGATCAGACTTGTGTTGTTCAGATATTCCTCTCAAGCAACATAAAAAGTTCACCAAGTTCATGGGCATCCTGAGATACTGGACAGACTTATTAGTGGAGTGAACTTTGAGCTCACAGTACCGTATATTTCATAGGTTCTTAATGTGATTTCAAAATGTGATACCATGTTCGCACAATTACAGTAGACCTGAGTGGTTTTATGTGTCAAATTGTGTTTTATTTTGTGTAGAAATTAGATGGATTGTGCTGGGTTGTCTAATCATGGATCTAAGACATGTGGCTGCATAGTAAGGTTCAGAGCTCTGCTGACTCCTGTGCTGAGTCAGTAATTAAGGTCTATGTTGTACTGTTTGACTGGGCCATCTTAGTTCACCTTGTCTCTCTGTCTCACAAGACATCATTACTAAGTAGGCTATGGGCATGTGGCCTGACCATGTGACCTGATCCTAACCCTAGTTATAGGCTAGTTATAAGCTATAAATAGGGCCCAGAGTTTGGTCAGGAAAAAACAATAGAAATTATTGGAGTGAGATATTTGGGTCAGGTTAGGTACACTAGTCTATACTGTATATGGCCATGATGTATTGAATATTTATACAACGTGTGGGTCTAATCCTAAATGCTGATTGGTTAAAACCGCATTCCAGCCGGTGTCTATTCCACAAGTTACCTCCGGCTAAATCTATGACGATAAAATGCCTATTTACTCTGTTCCATCTGACTGTGCAATCCACTGTCTCATCAGCCCAGCCAAGCAATTTATAAACTTGATCTCCACTATAAAAAGCATCTAGACATGATCTCACATTTAGACTAACATTTAGTGTTCAACAGCGGAGATTTGTATAAACCTTGCTGTCTGTCTTTCCGACCTTTGCAATATTGTTTCAATATTCAAATTCGATCTCCAACTGTCCCATAGTAATGAACGTGTCGGGAGTAGGGACGAGACAGACAGGTAGGCAGCGTTTCTCAGCCAGTCGAAATCATGAATCAGCTGGCATAATTTTTATGGATATATACAAAGAAATGTCAATTGAAAAAAGCTAAAACGAAACAAAGTGCAGCTAGTTTGCAGTCTTTCCAGCTTCAGTTTGAAGTGATTGTGTTAGCTGTGTAGTTGGCTAGCTCCTCTGAACAACAGTGTCCTGACGGGTGAGCACATTTTCTACACCAGGCGAAATTGCGCCCCATTAGCTCATTGTTATGGATGTATCCAAATAAATGTCACTAGAAAACAGCTTAAACAAATGCAAATGCAGCTACTTTGCTGTCATTCTGGCTTTTTGACGTGACTGTAAATTAGCCGTAGTTGGCTAGCTAGCAAGCAAGGGATAAGAACGTTGCCAGCCAGTATGGCAATGGAACATTTAGAATGAATGACAGAACAAAAAGACAAATAATTAACATTCAAAAAAACACCTCCCTCTGCAAACGACAGAACAAAAAGACTGAACGACTGGGACCAAACCGATAGCAACCAAACCGATAGAATGAACGACCAGCCGGCTTGGGTAGCAACCCTAGATTTGTGTTGGGACTATATCTTGTGGAAGGATGAAATTGTATGAATAAATTAATCAAAATAACGTTTTTAATGAAAATATGTCAATCATTATTTGAATATGTTGGTAACCCGTTGTATAAAAGTGATAATGGCCTCAAAGTCAATGTTTGGAGGATATATTGGCGCAGTTTTCCGGCCTTTGACGAACAACACCCGTGCCAATATATCCTCCAAACACAGGCTTCTCAGGCATTATCACTTAAATATATTGTGTGTGTCAGTAAATGACCTAAGCCTGTAAAATGAGGTGGCGCGTGACTGAGCTTTACAGTATATCAATATATTATTAAGTTATGAGTTAATCATGTTACCCTAATAACCTTAGTTCAATCATATCACATCTTGGCTGTTATTTTCTGACACTATGAACGGAAAATTATGTCTGTAAAAAAATGCAAAAAAACAAGAAACAATGGACACAAGAACAGAACACCAGAACTTCAGATACATTTGATGAAGTTTATTTTCCTCCCCAGAGTGACTGAGTGACATTAGATCACAAACTGCTTCACTTTGATCCCCTGCTCTGGGCGGAGTTCCACACCTCCTCTCCGTCTTTCTCAATCACCAGGTTGCCATCGTGGCTACATGCAGCACACCTTGAAGCCGTTGGCCTGAGTGTTGGTGTGCCATATGGCCTTCTCGTCCCTCTTGTACATGGCAAAGTTACAGTCGTCCTGCATGCACAGGCAGTGGGCGTCGCGCCAGCCGGCAGTGTCGGAGTTCCACATGGGCTTCCAGCCATAGAACACAGAGTTACCATCCTCCTATGGAGACAGATGGGGAGATATATAGAGATATAATGATTTGACCCCTGGATGTTGATAATGAATATTGTTACAAGGAAATCTACATTAACTCTAAGAACACTTTAAGAATCTGCCTTGTATACATGCTCTAGACACATACTGTACCTGGAAGAAGGCCTTCCACTCTTTGTTGTTGGACCACATGTAGTCTCCCTTATGCATCTCATCATACTTGGACATGTAGTTCCTGTACAGTAGTTAAAGTGAGAATATGGAGCATTCTCTGCAATAAGGGATGAGTTGCACCCAAAAAACGATTACCAATATCTACCAGTGAAGTACGATAACACTTTTCATAGCCACATGTTAAGTCTAGTTCCCTCCTAATAACAGTCTTTACATGTAATTAATGTACTGTTTTCTTACGACCTTCCTCCTTGTCTCTTTAATACCTGTAACTACATGTATGCAATGATCAGAGGAATCCACTGACAGAGAGAACCAATGTCAAGTGGAATCAGAGACCATTAACATGTCCCAGCTAAGGAGGCGATGGGATACTTACAGGCTGGATGTGGTCTGTGGAGGAGAGGAGAAGACGATGAAACTGGTGAGTTAACGATATGCAACATTGAGGGAATAAGGTGGTTTATAGTCAGGAGCTGATGGAGGAGACCACAGAGAGGACAAGAAGGCTCTCTTTTAGAATAAAATAGATTAGAAATGTTACCCATTGTGTGTTTAGTGTAACGTGACAAATAAAGCCGAATCCTTTTGAAAAGTTTTGTCTGGACATCTGGGTGCTGAGATGATTGGGATCATGCCAGACACTCTCTCTTCTCAGTCATCTTAGCAATTAACATGTTGTGCACTTTAATATTAACTGCGATTTCCAATGACATAGTTGTGAGGAATAAGTGTTTTTACATGAGTGTATTCAATTATCAAGAATGAAGAAGGACACATTTCGGGATCATACTGACACTCTCTTTAAAAAAATTCCACATCCAATCAAATAAGTCTGGAATGTCTCCTCAAAAAACACCCTTCAGATCTCTAAATGAACACAAGCAGGCCTAAATGACTTCACATGACCAGACATTTGGAACGATTCAAGGGAGATATCAAAACAGAGGTGTACTCAGAAACTGAATTGAATGTGTACACAGTTAAATATGGCAAGAGTGTGTGTAACTGTACTGACTGTTCAGTGTGAGTTATGTCATTATGCTTAATATGAAATAACTCAAGCAGTAATTCAGCACTGCTATGCCTATTGGTCAAATGTTCCCAGATTCAGTGTCTGTTGGTAAACTGCCTAGCAGCTAATCAACCTGGTACTGATTTGAAATTAGTTCACTTGATTTGACCTGACTGATTTACAGACTTGATCAATGTGGCTGCTGCTTTTTCTGTTTGGCTGAGGGGTGGCACCCCTGTACTGGAAAAACAGCACAATAGTAGCAATTATAGACTCTTTCTCAATTCATTTTTCCTTGATTCCTTGCATCGTCTCTCCTTGCCTCCTTCTCAAAATGCATTGGAGAACAAGATGTGATGGGAGGGACCTTCTCCTCCAGTATGGTCGAGAAGGAGGCGAGGAGATAGGATGCAAGGACATTTTGCTAACAGAATGACAGTAAAATCTCCCTCCGTTTTTTTATGTGACCATTCTCTTCAAGGTGATTTATACTGAATAGGTACACAAAGGTAGAAACATTTAATATCCTCCTTTGCATGTTTGTGTATTATTCTACACACTGGCTAATATTCTAATGAGCTCTGCCCACAAACAAGACCAAATTTGGTTGGTCCAGACCGGACCAAATCTGTACCAATCATAGACATCTATGTTTCACAAGTTTGGGCATCACAATACAGCACAGCACAGCACACACTACAGTAGAGTAGAGTATAGTTCAGTACAGTAGAGTAGAGTAGAGTTCAGTACAGTACAGTAGAGCACACTACAGTACAGTAGAGTATAGTTCAGTACAGTAGAGTAGAGTAGAGTATAGTAGAGTAGAGCACAGTACACTACAGTAGAGCACAGTACACTACAGTAGTGTAGAGTTCAGTACAGTACAGTAGAGCACAGTACACTATAGTAGAGTATAGTTCAGTACAGTACAGTAAAGAAAAGTAGACTAGAGTATAGTTTAGTACAGTACATTAGAGTACAGCCCAGTAGAGTAGAGTATATTACATTGTACTGTACTCTACTAATGTGTGCTCTACTGTACGGTACTGTACTGAACTCTACTCTACTGTACTGAACTATACTCTATACTCTGGTCTAGGGAAGAGTAAGTAGGAGTGGCAGGCAGGGGAAGGATCAGGTCTAGGGAATAGGAAGTAACGTTAGGTAGTAAGTGGCTACTGTGCTTGAAATTTAGCTAGCTTGTTGCTACCTGGATAGCTACTAGTAAACAATAGCTGGAACGACCTAGCGAACAGACGCAAACTGGCTGAGTCAATTCAGTGGCTAGCTTTGCACTTGGCTAGCTAACAGTAGCTGCTAGGGGTAAGTCACAATCTACATTTGTGTTTTGTTTTTACATATTGATAGCCAGAGTCGTTCAAGGAATTCGGGACATGGGTGACTAGTTAACGTTAGCTTGGCTCTCTCTGTGTGTTCGTGCCGTGAAAGGAGGGGTTTCTTCTTTGTCTGAAAGCAATGGCTAGCTAGTATGCTAACTATTCTAGCTAACTAACTGGCTGAATAAGTTGACGACGGACTCGCTCAAGCTGTCGGGACTAACCCACAACGTTAGACACGGACACGAACGATCTGCTTGGCGTGTTGACACACTGGTGGTTTGTTGTGGCCGAGTATTGGTGCTAAACCGTGTTGTTGGAGTCCGGCATGCTAGTTGGCTGTGGCGTCTTATGACTAGGTGCCCTGGACGATTTTCACGGAAGAATACTGTACCAAGTTAGCTAGCTGAATAAACTAAGTTAGTCTATTCCTAGAAAACATTGAACCGCTGTAGTTTACAACAATTATAGTTTCTGAGGTGGAAGTTGGGAGAGTTATATTTGGGTGTTGTGGTGAGGGAGGCCTCGCTCTCTCCTTTCCCAGATGTTTAGTTCATTTCATTCCGATCTCCTTTGCATTATTGTAGCCATTTTCTGCAGCCTGTCAACTATGCCTCTGTCAATCCCTGTTCTCTCCTCTCCGCACAGGCTATACAAACGCCTCACACCGCGTGGCTGCTGCCTCTCTAACCTGGTGGTCCCTGCACGCACCACCCACGTGGAGTTCCAGGTCTCAGGCAGCCTCTGGAACTGCCGTTCTGCTGCCAACAAGGCAGAGTTAATCTCAGCCTATGCTACCCTCCAGTCCCTCGACTTCTTGGCGCTGACGGAAACATGGATTACCACTGAAAACACTGCTACTCCTACTGCTCTCTCCTCGTCTGACCATGTGTTCTCGCATACCCCGAGAGCATCTGGTCAGCGGGGTGGTGGCACAGGAATCCTCATCTCTCCCAAGTGGACATTCTCTATTTTTCCCCTGACCCATCTGTCTATCTCCTCATTTGAATTCCATGCTGTCACAGTCACTAGCCCATTTAAGCTTAATATCCTTGTCATTTATCGCCCTCCAGGTTCCCTTGGAGAGTTCATCAATGAGCTTGACGCCTTGATAAGTTCCTTTCCTTAGGATGGCTCACCCCTCACAGTTCTGGGGGACTTCAACCTCCCTACGTCTACCTTTGACTCATTTCTCTCTGCCTCCTTCTTTCCACTCCTCTCCTCTTTTGACCTCACCCTCTCACCGTCCCCCCCTACTCACAAGGCAGGCAATACGCTTGACCTCATCTTTACTAGATGCTGTTGTTCTACTAATCTCACTGCAACTCCCCTCCATGTCTCCGACCACTACTTTGTATCCTTCTCTCTCTCGCTCTCCTCCAACACTACTCACTCTGCCCCTACTCAGATGGTAATGCGCCGTCGCAACCTTCGCTCTCTCTCTCCCGCTACTCTCTCCTCTTCCATCCTATCATCTCTTCCCTCTGCTCAATCCTTCTCCCTCCAATCTCCTGATTCTGCCTCCTCAACCCTCCTCTCCTCCCTTTCTGCATCCTTTGACTCTCTATGTCCCCTATCCTCCCGGCCGGCTCGGTCCTCCCCTCCAGCTCCGTGGCTTGATGACTCATTGCGAGCTCACAGAACAGGGCTCCGGGCAGCCGAGCGGAAATGGAGGAAAACTAGACTCCCTGCGGACCTGGCATCTTTTTACTCCCTCCTCTCTACATTTTCTTCATCTGTTTCTGCTGCTAAGGCCACTTTCTACCACTCTAAATTCCAAGCATCTGCCTCTAACCATAGGAAGCTCTTTGCCACCTTCTCCTACCTGCTGAATCCTCCTCCCACTCCCCCCCCTCCTCCCTCTCAGTGGATGACTTCGTCAACCATTTTGAAAAGAAGGTTGACGACATCCGATCCTCGTTTGTTAAGTCAAATGACACTGCTGGTCCTGCTCACACTGCCCTACCCTATGCTTTGACTTCTTTCTCCCCTCTCTCTCCAGATAAAATCTTGCGACTTGTGACGGCCGGCCGCCCAACAACCTGTCCGCTTGACCCTATCCCCTCCTCTCTTCTCCAGACCATCTCCGGTGACCTTCTCCCTTACCTCACCTCGCTGATCAACTCATCCTTGACCGCTGGCTATGTCCCTTCCGTCTTCAAGAGAGCGAGAGTTGCACCCCTTCTCAAAAAACCAACACTCGATCCCTCTGATGTCAACAACTACAGACCAGTATCCCTTCTTTCTTTTCTCTCCAAAACTATTGAGCGTGCCGTCTTTAGCCAACTTTCTTGCTATCTCTCTCATAATGACCTTCTTGATCCAAACCAGTCAGGTTTCAAGACTGGTCATTCAACTGAGACTGCTCTTCTCTGTGTCACGGAGGCTCTCCGCACTGCTAAAGCTAACTCTCTCTCCTCTGCTCTTGTCCTTCTAGACCTGTCTGCTGCCTTTGATACTGTGAACCATCAGATCCTCCTCTCCACCCTCTCCGAGCTGGGCATCTCCGGCGCGGCTCACTCTTGGATTGCGTCCTACCTGACCGGTCGCTCCTACCATGTGGCGTGGCGAGAAGCTGTCTCCGCACCACGTGCTCTCACCACTGGTGTCCCCCAGGGCTCAGTTCTAGGCCCTCTCCTATTCTCGCTATACACTTAGTCACTTGGCTCTGTCATATCCTCACATGGCCTCTCCTATCATTGCTACGCAGACGACACACAACTAATCTTCTCCTTTCCCCCTTCTGACAATAAGGTGGCGAATCGCATCTCTGCATGTCTGGCAGACATATCAGTATGGATGACGGATCACCACCTCAAGCTGAACCTTGGCAAGACGGAGCTGCTCTTCCTCCCGGGGAAGGACTGCCCGTTCCATGATCTCGCCATCACAGTTGACAACTCTGTTGTGTCCTCCTCCCAGAGTGCGAAGAGCCTTGGCGTGACCCTGGACAACACCCTGTCGTTCTCCGCTAACATCAAGGCGGTGACCCAATCCGGTAGGTTCATGCTCTACAACATTCGGAGAGTACGACCCTGCCTTACACAGGAAGCGGCACAGGTCCTAATCCAGGCACTTGTCATCTCCCGTCTGGATTACTGCAACTCGCTGTTGGCTGGGCTCCCTGCCTGTGCCATTAAACCCCTACAACTCATCCAGAATGCCGCAGCCAGTCTGGTGTTCAACCTTCCCAAATTCTCTCACGTCACCCCGCTCCTCCGCACACTCCACTGGCTTTCAGTTGAAGCTCGTATCTGCTACAAGACCATGGTGCTTGCCTACGGAGCTGTGAGGGGAACGGCACCTCCGTACCTTCAGGCTCTGATCAGTCCCTACACCCAAACGAGGGCATTGCGTTCATCCACCTCTGGCCTGCTGGCTCCCCTACCTCTGCGGAAATACAGTTCCCGCTCAGCCCAGTCAAAACTGTTCGCTGCTCTGGCACCCCAATGGTGGAACAAGCTCCCTCACGACGCCAGGACAGCGGAGTCACTCACCACCTTCCAGAGACATTAGAAACCCCACCTCTTTAAGGAATACCTGGGATAGGATAAAGTAATCCTTCTACCCCCCCCCCCCCCCCCCCTTACCCCACCCAATTTATCAAGATGTTCATTTAATGCAGTCCTTCTCAAATAGTGGGGCGCGCCCCCCTGGTGGGGCTCGGAGCAATGCCATGGGGGGCGCGTGTGACCCCGTGGAACGTGCTTTTTTCCCCCCAGGGAGTATGTTTTTTTTGCACCGAACAAGAGCACACAGCACAGAGCAGGAGATATGAAGTGCAGATAACAAACCCTTAAGAGACACCATGGAAAAATATTTAACAGGGATGAAAAGAAAGGCGGAGAGAGACGGAGATAATGAGACAAACGTAAGTCTCCCGAAAGCTAAGACGAGGAAATATGACGAAGCGTATGTAGCGCTTGGCTTCACTGTGACTACGGTGGGAGACGAGGAAAGACCGGTGTGTTTACTGTGTCTAAAAATGTTGGCAGCGGACAGCATGAAGCCAAATAAATTAAGGCGTCACTTAAAGACATTACACCCCAATCACGCTGATAAGCCGCTTGAGTTTTTTCAGCGAAAACGTGCCGAATATTGCCAACAATCGTCCCGCTTTGTGAATGCTACTTCAGTAAACCAGCGAGCACTGTTAGCATCATATAAGGTGGCGTACCAAATTGCTCAGTGCAAAAAAAAACACTCCATAGCAGAGGAGCTGATACTGCCTGCAGCATTAGACATGGTCTCTGTCATGCTGGATGACGCAAGTGCTGCAAAAATAAAAACTATCCCTCTGTCCAATGACACTGTCGCCAGACGTATAAATGACATTGCTAACGATCTTAAAGAACAGCTGGTAGATAAACTCAAAGACAAACGTTTTGCCTTACAGTTCGATGAAGCAACTGACAGCAACAAAGACTGTTTGTTTATCGCTTATGTACGTTTTGACATGACAAACTCCCTGTGTGAGGATCTACTTTTTTGTAAATATGTCAGAGACAGAGCCACAGCTGAAGAGCTATTCAAAATGCTGGACTGCTTCCTGACTGAGAATGGGCTAAAGTGGGAGAACTGCATTGGTGTTTGCAGTGATGGTGCACAGACCATGGCAGGGATGAGAAAAGGACTTCGGGCACTCATCAAGAAGGCCTCACCTAATGCTGAGTGGACACACTGTGTTATACACAGAGAAGCACTGGCTTCAAGGCACCTTTCCTCTGAATTAAGTGAGGTTATGACTGACATTGTAGGTGTAGTCAATTTTATAAAGACCAGACCACTAAAAACAAGAGTCTTCTCTGCTATCTGTGAGGAGATGGGAGCTGAACATCAAGCTGTGCTGTTTCACAGTCACGAGGAAAAGTCTTGTCCCGAGTTTTTGAGCTCAGAGAGCAGATAAGAATGTTTTCGGAGCAGGAGCACAAGTATGAACTCGCAGAAAAATGTAGTGATGAGAACTTCCTGGCAAAACTGGCCTACCTGAGTGACATATTTGGAAAGCTAAATGAACTAAATTGTCACACCCTGGTTCTGGGACTCTATATGTTGAGGCATGCCATGGGCATTCTTCTTCCTTTTGCAACATCTTATCGTTGTGAGACTGGCTTCTCTGCTGTTGCTGCACTGAAGACCAAGTACAGGTCCCAGCTAAACATTGAGCAGGAGCTGAGAGTTGCAGTATCATGCTTCAAACCCCGCTTCGAAAAGCTGTGCACTGCAAAACGTGCTCATTGTAGTCATTAATCCTGACTTCCTCATTTTGATTTTAAAAAATCAGCACAAATTGTTTTATTCATTTTTGTTTTATAGGTCAAAGTGTTTCATATATTGTGCTCCTGAGTTAATGTTGCTGATCAATTTGAATTTATTATTATTTATTGATTATATTTTATTTTATTTTTCAGTATCAAATGGTCAAAAAATGTTTACAGTTTAAATAAGGATTGAATTATTTTCTTAATTTCTGGCAAATTGATGCACTTTAAGTATTTTCTGTTACAGACTAAAAAACAATGTTAATAAAGTTATTCTTTGTTGTAAGTTGATCTATATTTAATGTTAATAAGGATACAATGTTATGCAGAGGTGTACTTATAACAATTTTATAGACAAATGATACTATTTACAGTCGCAGCGGAGAGTTGGGGGGTGCGAAATGTTTACTTCTTCCTAAGGGGGGGCGTAACAGAAAATAATTGAGAAGCACTGATTTAATGACAATCCAATACTGACACAATTAAAAGAGACAGACTGTTTTATTGGTTACACATAAAAAGTTACGAGATTGCCCAATTCAGACAGTCAGAGATGTATGCACTGTAGTAGCAGACTTTAAAAAAAGCTTCACTCTTTGTGACTTCATTCATTTCATGCCGGAGGATTCGTTGGAGCTCCAGATGTCTACTCCGTCCTTCTCCAGCACAAGGATGCCGTCGTCTTTTAGGTGGATCCGGCACATCTTGCAGCTCGTCTGAAAGGTGTTGGTGTGCCACATGGGGGAGTCCTCCTGTGTGTACATCACCAGGTTGCAGTCCTCCTGCATGCACAGGCGGTGAGGGTTGGGGCCGGCCGTGTCTGACGACCACATGGGCTTCCAGCCGTAGATCACAAAGTTGCCATCGTCCTACAGAGATAGACACACATATACAGTACTATCACAAAACAGTTATTTAATAACACACTCTTGATGTTCTCCAGAACCAAAGCCAATTCATGAATGTAGCCTACATTGAGTGATAAGCACCTGCAATTTACTTTTTGTTCAACAGATTTAAGTAATTACAGCTGCTTCTCGAGGTGTAGAACACTAGAGCAGTACAAACTAAAGCAGTACAAGAAGTGCCAACAACATGCACTGCTGTACAAACTGAGACAGATATTAACAATGCTGATGTTGAAGTAACGAACCTGAAAGACAGCTTTCCACTCTCGGTTGTTGGATAGTAGGAAGTCTCCCTTGCGGAGCTCATCATTTTTGGACAAGTAGTTCCTGCTCATGATGACTGTGTAATGAGATGTTTGGGTTATCAATGTACAGAAATCCAGGTCGTACACTCTTTCACAAAAAAAGTATATTAAGGAATGTTGGATAGAGTTATCGTATATATTAGGTATATACCCCACAGGACAAAATAGTGCAGTAGTGTATTGCCATGCAAAAGTAAAATTTAAGACCAATCTTTGAAATAAAAAGTTAACCAAAGTCAACTGAAATGCACATATATTTTAAAGTGCATTGAAAACACAAGAGGGCAGCATTGTAGGCAATAGATCACCGTTGAGCAGATATAAAAAAATATATATATAAAAAGATGAGCAGGTATTTAGAACAATAAATCACTAGGTAAAGTTCAATACACACTCAGTGTTGGAGTCTTAAACAAGGTGCAGTGAAAGAAGAATGGGGAGAGATGCACTGACACCCCAGTTTATATCAACAGGGACATGGGAGGGGAATGGAGGAGGGACCAGAGCTGTGCCCATTTTTAAAGGGTAGGTAGCGTAAACGTAACATATGGATTTGCATTAGTATACACATCAAAAGTCCCAATGCTAAGTTACACCTCACTTTTCAATTTTTCGAGTTATTATATCAAACTGATCAGAACTCAATTTTGGTTGGATATCGTCACCAATACAACATATTACTGTGTACCACTCAACATTTTCAAGCATAGTGGTGGCTGGATCTGGGGAGTTTCAGGATAAAAAAGAAATGGGATGGAGTAAGCACAGACAAAATCCTAGAGGAAGACCTGGTTCAATCTGCTTTCCACCAGACACTGGGAGATTAATTCACCTTTCAGCAGGACAATAACCTAAAACACAAAGCCAAATCTACACTGGAGTTGCTGACCAAGAAGACAGTGAATGTTCTTGAGTGTTGAAGGAGAATGAGATTCTTATCCAGTTACAGAAACCCACATGGAGTCAGTAGAAACCATATTTATTTAAGCAAGTCAGCCATTAGCTCCACTGTCGGGACAGCTTTATGTAGACCCTTAAAGTTTGTGGGCACTGTTTGTCACCGTTATAGTGCATTTAATGTATTGTTTAGAGTTGTGTAGTGGCTTTGATGGCATGCATCTAAAAAAAATTGTTTGTTTGCCCCACCAAGATTGACATGCTAGAATCGGCACTGGTCAGGGGAGGGATGAGGTGAAGGGGAATTGGCAACAGCTGTCTCAATGTCACTTTAGTCCAATAGTCCATGCAATTGAATTAGATTTCACACATGAGAATGTAAGGAATTAAGTGAAAGGCAATCATAAACACACAGCACACGTGATTAAAAGGCACTCAAATACGCATGATATCAATAAGTGACGTTATCCCCCCCCCCCCCCATTAAATATGGTCATCCCGGACTCCCGACCACAATTCTAATACTGCGTTTAGATGGCACGAGGTAGACGGAAAACCAGATGTCATTGTTTTCGATGAGAGAATGACGGTGAATGCCGTCAGCCGCCACGGTAGACGGGACTTGCCACCAGAGTTAAACTATTTCAACTTTTGCCATCACGTTGTTTTCAACCGGATGTTGATTTGCACTGTTTGTTTACTGAAATCACCATAGCAACACATACTGTCGTGCTGGCTTGCTTTTGCCGTCACAGTATTTCTTGCTTGCTTTCTTGTCCCGCTCTGCCGACTGGTATGACGGTTTTGGCGTCCCTCATCTAAATGCAGCATTAGTGTCTCAATACTTTCCTGAGGTTTTACCTCTGGTTACCCGGTAAGAGCGCCGAAGTGCCGAAGCGTTTGTTATTTACAAGGTAAGGCTCTGCAGTCTCTCGTTCAGCAGCTACTGTGGGCTCTTGATGGTGCCGCCAACCCCACTGCTGGCCCTTCCGCAGCAGGGGGAGCAAAAAATCTATGCGGGCCTGTTGTGGGTGGGGGCAACAGCGTTGGACATGCCCTGCCTTGCCACAGTCTCTACGGAGTGGATGGCCCTGCTACTGTGCCATAAGCCCCTGTGCTCACAATATTACCTCTACTTGAGCCCGCCAACTTCTACATTTTATGTTGTCCCCATCAAACTTGGGGACCCAAGTGGATCCCATGAACCATGGCATGACTGTGTAATAGGGGTGGCTACAGCCTCTGCAACATTGGGGGTGTCCCCGCCTTCTGATTGTTCCAGAGACATGTCTAAGCAGTGTGTTTGCAAGTGGGATCCTGCCGACTATGCTAACAACCAAAGTTATTTCAATCCCAATACCACAGACACAGGCAGGAGGCAGACAGTCAGTGTTTACGGTTCTTTAATATCTTTATTTACTTAGTATTATAAAAGGGGGTTACAGGATAAAAGCAAAACAGAACAAAACACAAGGACAGGCACACTCACGCTAGAGTCCATAGTTGTTTGGCATGGAGCGTTTGTCGAGTTGGCATCATCGAGTTCCGATGTGGTAGTCGTGGCCTCAGCAGTCTCGTCGTAGCAGGGCACATCTGGAGAGGGTGGAGAAAGCTTAATCAGTAACGTCATCGTACTGGAAACCATTGGTACGCACTCATACGTCGTTCAGCTCTTCATTACGAGCAGGGTCAATCCATTCGGCTCTTCTCGAGCACTCATCCGTGCTGCTTTTGACACCGTCATTCACCACATTCTTTTGGAGAGATTGGAAACCCTATGTGAGGGAAGATGTTGATGTCTGAAGAGATAGCCTTCAATTGTACACAGCTTCTCCTCTCACTCTATCTTGGTTCGTGCAGGTGACTGTGACCTCCTCCTCAGACCAATTGGCAGTACGCCCAGATCATTGTTCTGGGAACCAAAAGGAGTATCTCAATTTCAAGGTCACAGCTTTGAGAGAAGAAGCCTCTCAGTCACATGCAGGAACCAACGTTAATAATGAATAATGAATAATGTAAATCATGCGTATATGACTTGCTTGTGTAGCAGTATATGAGAACTGAAAGGGAACGCCCTTTTCAGAGATTTCATCAAGCTTGGATTGAGTTTGTGAACCTCTCTGGCCGTGATAATAAAGATTGATTCATTTACATTGAGTTTGAGTCCTTAATGATGAATTTCCATGACAATTTTGGCATCATGAGGTGTTATTGTAGGCATTTATGAGAAGTATCTATGTGTACAGAGAACCACTGATAATAGCACAAGGTGTTATTTTAGGTATTCATGAGAAGTGTCTACGTGGTCTGAGAACAACTGGTAGTAACACGAGGTGCTATTCTATATGTATAGGAAGCGGCAAGAATATAGAGGTTATAGAGACTATATCATTTATAACTATATAGACTACAGAGACAGAGACTATAGATACCATAGAGACTATAGAGACTATAGAGACTATAGAGACTCAGAGACTATAGATACTATAGAGACTATGGCAACTATAGAGACTATAGGAGAACCGTTGAAGATACATATGTATGCAAAGGAGGGCCTTTCGAGTGGTGCAGCGGTATAAGGCACTGCATCGTAGTGCTTGAGGCGTCACTACAGACCCGGGTTTGATCCCAGGCTGTTTCACAGCTGGCCATGACCGGGAGATCCATGAGGTGGCGCACAATTGTCTCAGCGTCGTCCGGGTTAGGGGAGGGGTTGGCCGGCTGGGATTTCCTTGTCCCATAGCGCTCTAGCGAATCCTTGTGGTGGGCCGGGCGCCTGCAAGCTGACTTCGGTCGCCAGCTGGATGGTGTTTCCTCCGACACATTGGTGCGGCTGGCTACCGGATTAAGCGAGCAGTGTGTCAAGATGCAGTGCGGCTTGGCAGGGTCGTGTTTCGGAGGACGCATGGCTCTCAACCTTGGCCTCTCCTGAGTCCGTAGGGGAGTTGCGGCGATGGGACAAGATTGTAACTACCAATTGAATATCATGAAATTGGGGAGAAAAAGGGGTAAAAGTTTTTTTTAACTTTCAAAAAGTAAAATAAATGCATAGGCGGTAACGACAAGAGAATCGTTGAAGATGCATAAGGAGTAATAAGGGAGATTACTGAGTGTGTTTGGGAATAGTACTAAGTGAATGTGGATGTGAGTATTGTATGATTGACTAATTAACTGAACAGGGGTTTAGCCCCGGTGTGAGAGTTGTGTGAGTGTGGGATGATGTGTTAAGCTGGAAGTTTTTTCTAAAGAGTTCAACAAAGGGTATGGGAAAGGGAAATAGTAAGAGTAGGATGGAGGATCCGTGCTGGGAACCAAAAGGGCTGTGTAGTGTAATGGCAAAACAAATGGCAGGGGGGTACTGGACCAAACAGAAGACTGGACAAGATAGACAGATGGAGATTTCCCTGCTGATGGGACACTAAGCACAGAAAAACTGGAGTATGTGAGAGGCCAACTTGAAGAGGAAGAAGGACAAAATAAAAAGAAGACGCCACCAGCAGACGGAGATGGTGGCCTCCCACCTCCTCATAACCCACTTGGGGGTGGGCCTGTGCCAGGTGAAGGAGCTGTGGGATTAGGAGCTGTTGGAGGATCTGCAGAAGGTGCTGGAGCTGAAGACAGAAAGCAACCAGCCAAGACAAGAACCAGAACAAACGAGCAGAGAGAACAAGAGGCAGAGGAAGAGGTAGAGGCCGAGGGGCCCCTGGTGGAGCTGACGGAGGGAGAGACTGGAGCTGCTACAACTGTGGGAAGTTAGGGCATTTCTCAAGACACTGTCCTGGAGCAGGAGAAGGTCAAGGAGAGTGGCCGTCCCCACCTGTTGGCATGCAGGTGGACAACCCTTTTGGAAGAGGAGGTGGGCGAGGGGCTACCAAACATAGGATGAGGCGGAAACAAAATAAGAAACTAATGAAGAAAACAATGTTGAAGAACCAGAAGAGACCTGTCAAATGCTAAAATTGACCACCTAGTCAACACAAAACCCCCTTATTGACATTTTAGTTAATAAATATAAAATTATAACTGTAAGTCGCTCTGGATAAGAGTGTCTGCTAAATGACTAAAATGTAAAATACTGGGCACTGTAATGACAATACCAAGAAAACAACCAATTCCCGTTGAAACCATGCCTGTGGTATTACAAGATAATTCACACATTGATTGGCTAAAAGATATACCTGAAGAACTGTGGGCTAAATCAAAGACTGACATTGGACGCATGAAAGGAGCTGCGCCAGTTGTGGCATGTAGATATTTTTGGCAGAAAAGTTTCCCCCAGTAAGATGCAATTATGCCGGAGCTCTGTTAAATATTTGGGTCATGACATTACTTCTGAGGGTCATGCCTAGGGCTGTTGCGGTGACCGTATTACCGCCACACCGGCGGTCACGAATCATGAAGGCAGTCAAATTCCATGTGACCGTTTAGTCACGGTACTTAGGCTTCTCCAAGCTCTGATGCTGCTCATGGTCATTAGTAGCCTACCAAACTTGCTAACTGCCTGGTACTCAGCACTCTATTGTCCCTCTAATCACTCTGACATCAATGCAAATGTAATCGAAAATCTAATCAAACACTTAATGAGAGCCCATGAGCTCATGTTGCGCAACATTTCTATAGGCTATGCAATTGCGCGATAAAACAGAGTGATGGCCTCTACTAAAAAGAGGAGGATCCCATCAGCTTTCTATAGACTAGGCCTACTATATTTATTTCTCAACTTTCCTAATATTAAGCACATTGTTTATCTTTACAACAGGAGTATAGCCTACCTGGCTGGCATGAAAATGAACTACAGGAAAAGCGTCCTCCATTCGCTATTTAGGTGCATAGATTACATGTATTTTTCCCGCTGCCCCTGTTTTGAGACATGTGACCTCCTTACCCCACCCAATTTATCAAGATGTTCATTTAATGACAATCCAATACTGACACAATTAAAAGAGACAGACTGTTTTATTGGTTACACATAAAAAGTTACGAGATTTCCCAATTCAGACAGTCAGAGATATATGCACTGTAGTAGCAGACTTTAAAAAAAAAGCTTCACTCTTTGTGACTTCATTCATTTCATGCCGGAGGATTCGTTGGAGCTCCAGATGTCTACTCCGTCCTTCTCCAGCACAAGGATGCCGTCGTCTTTTAGGTGGATCCGGCACATCTTGCAGCTCGTCTGAAAGGTGTTGGTGTGCCACATGGGGGAGTCCTCCTGTGTGTATATCACCAGGTTGCAGTCCTCCTGCATGCACAGGCGGTGAGGGTTGGGGCCGGCCGTGTCTGAAGACCATATGGGCTTCCAGCCGTAGATCACAAAGTTGCCATCGTCCTACAGAGATAGACACACATATACAGTACTATCACAAAACAGTTATTTAATAACACACTCTTGATGTTCTCCAGAACCAAAGCCAATTCATGAATGTAGCCTACATTGAGTGATAAGCACCTGCAATTTACTTTTTGTTCAACAGATTTAAGTAATTACAGCTGCTTCTCGAGGTGTAAAACACTAGAGCAGTACAAACTAAAGCAGTACAAGAAGTGCCAACAACATGCACTGCTGTACAAACTGAGACAGATATTAACAATGCTGATGTTGAAGTAACGAACCTGAAAGACAGCTTTCCACTCTCGGTTGTTGGATAGTAGGAAGTCTCCCTTGCGGAGCTCATCATTTTTGGACAAGTAGTTCCTGCTCATGATGACTGTGTAATGAGATGTTTGGGTTATCAATGTACAGAAATCCAGGTCGTACGCTCTTTCACAAAAAAAGTATATTAAGGAATGTTGGATAGAGTTATCGTATATATTAGGTATATACCCCACAGGACAAAATAGTGCAGTAGTGTATTGCAATGCAAAAGTAAAATTTAAGACCAATCTTTGAAATAAAAAGTTAACCAAAGTCAACTGAAATGCACATATATTTTAAAGTGCATTGAAAACACAAGAGGGCAGCATTGTAGGCAATAGATCACCGTTGAGCAGATATAAAAAAATATATATATAAAAAGATGAGCAGGTATTTAGAACAATAAAAATCACTAGGTAAAGTTCAATACTCACTCAGTGTTGGAGTCTTAAACAAGGTGCAGTGAAAGAAGAATGGGGAGAGATGCACTGACACCCCAGTTTATATCAACAGGGACATGGGAGGGGAATGGAGGAGGGACCAGAGCTGTGCCCATTTTTAAAGGGTAGGTAGCGTAAACGTAACATATGGATTTGCATTAGTATACACATCAAAAGTCCCAATGCTAAGTTACACCTCACTTTTCAATTTTTCGAGTTATTATATAAAACTGATCAGAACTCAATTTTGGTTGGATATCGTCACCAATACAACATATTACTGTGTACCACTCAACATTTTCAAGCATAGTGGTGGCTGGATCTGGGGAGTTTCAGGATAAAAAAGAAATGGGAATGGAGTAAGCACAGACAAAATCCTAGAGGAAGACCTGGTTCAATCTGCTTTCCACCAGACACTGGGAGATTAATTCACCTTTCAGCAGGACAATAACCTAAAACACAAAGCCAAATCTACACTGGAGTTGCTGACCAAGAAGACAGTGAATGTTCTTGAGTGTTGAAGGAGAATGAGGTTCTTATCCAGTTACAGAAACCCACATGGAGTCAGTAGAAACCATATTTATTTAAGCAAGTCAGCCATTAGCTCCACTGTCGGGACAGCTTTATGTAGACCCTAAAAGTTTGTGGGCACTGTTTGTCACCGTTATAGTGCATTTAATGTATTGTTTAGAGTTGTGTAGTGGCTTTGATGGCATGCATCTAAAAAAATTGGTTGTTTGCCCCACCAAGATTGACATGCTAGAATCGGCACTGGTCAGGGGAGGGATGAGGTGCAGGGGAATTGGCAACAGCTGTCTCAATGTCACTTTAGTCCAATAGTCCATGCAATTCAATTAGATTTCACACATGAGAATGTAAGGAATTAAGTGAAAGGCAATCATAAACACACAGCACACGTGATTAAAAGGCACTCAAATACGCATGATATCAATAAGTGACGTTATCCCCCCCCCCCCCCCCCCCATTAAATATGGTCATCCCGGACTCCCGACCACAATTCTAATACTGCGTTTAGATGGCACGAGGTAGACGGAAAACCAGATGTCATTGTTTTCGATGAGAGAATGACGGTGAATGCCGTCAGCCGCCACGGTAGACGGGACTTGCCACCAGAGTTAAACTATTTCAACTTTTGCCATCACGTTGTTTTCAACCGGATGTTGATTTGCACTGTTTGTTTACTGAAATCACCATAGCAACACATACTGTCGTGCTGGCTTGCTTTTGCCGTCACAGTATTTCTTGCTTGCTTTCTTGTCCCGCTCTGCCGACTGGTATGACGGTTTTGGCGTCCCTCGTCTAAATGCAGCATTAGTGTCTCAATACTTTCCTGAGGTTTTACCTCAGGTTACCCGGTAAGAGCGCCGAAGTGAGAAGCGTTTGTTATCTACAAGGTAAGGCTCTGCGGTCTCTCGTTCAGCAGCAACTGTGGGCTCTTGATGGTGCCGCCAACCCCACTGCTGGCCCTTCCGCAGCAGGGGGAGCAAAAAATCTATGCGGGCCTGTTGTGGGTGGGGGCAACAGCGTTGGACATGCCCTGCCTTGCCACAGTCTCTACGGAGTGGATGGCCCTGCTACTGTGCCATAAGCCCCTGTGCTCACAATATTACCTCTACCTGAGCCCGCCAACTGCTACATTTTATGTTGTCCCCATCAAACTTGGGGACCCAAGTGGATCCCATGAACCATGGCATGACTGTGTAATAGGGCTGGCTACAGCCTCTGCAACATTGGGGGTGTCCCCGCCTTCTGATTGTTCCAGAGACATGTCTAAGCAGTGTGTTTGCAAGTGGGATCCTGCCGACTATGCTAACAACCAAAGTTATTTCAATCCCAATACCACAGACACAGGCAGGAGGCAGACAGTCAGTGTTTACGGTTCTTTAATATCTTTATTTACTTAGTATTATAAAAGGGGGTTACAGGATAAAAGCAACACAGAACAAAACACAAGGACAGGCACACTCACGCTAGAGTCCATAGTTGTTTGGCATGGAGCGTTTGTCGAGTTGGCATCATCGGGTTCCGATGTGGTAGTCGTGGCCTCAGCAGTCTCGTCGTAGCAGGGCACATCTGGAGAGGGTGGAGAAAGCTTAATCAGTAACGTCATCGTACTGGAAACCATTGGTACGCACTCATACGTCGTTCAGCTCTTCATTACGAGCAGGGTCAATCCATTCGGCTCTTCTCGAGCACTCATCCGTGCTGCTTTTGACACCGTCATTCACCACATTCTTTTGGAGGGATTGGAAACCCTATGTGAGGGAAGATGTTGATGTCTGAAGAGATAGCCTTCAATTGTACACAGCTTCTCCTCTCACTCTATCTTGGTTCGTGCAGGTGACTGTGACCTCCTCCTCAGACCAATTGGCAGTACGCCCAGATCATTGTTCTGGGAACCAAAAGGAGTATCTCAATTTCAAGGTCACAGCTTTGAGAGAAGAAGCCTCTCAGTCACATGCAGGAACCAACGTTAATAATGAATAATGAATAATGTAAATCATGCGTATATGACTTGCTTGTGTAGCAGTATATGAGAACTGAAAGGGAACGCCCTTTTCAGAGATTTCATCAAGCTTGGATTGAGTTTGTGAACCTCTCTGGCCGTGATAATAAAGATTGATTCATTTACATTGAGTTTGAGTCCTTAATGATGAATTTCCATGACAATTTTGGCATCATGAGGTGTTATTGTAGGCATTTATGAGAAGTATCTATGTGTACAGAGAACCACTGATAATAGCACAAGGTGTTATTTTAGGTATTCATGAGAAGTGTCTACGTGGTCTGAGAACAACTGGTAGTAACACGAGGTGCTATTCTATATGTATAGGAAGCGGCAAGAATATAGAGGTTATAGAGACTATAGCATTTATAACTATATAGACTACAGAGACAGAGACTATAGAGACTATAGAGACTATAGAGACTCAGAGACTATAGATACTATAGAGACTATGGCAACTATAGAGACTATAGAAGAACCGTTGAAGATACATATGTATGCAAAGGAGGGCCTTTCGAGTGGTGCAGCGGTATAAGGCACTGCATTGTAGTGCTTGAGGCGTCACTACAGACCCGGGTTTGATCACAGGCTGTTTCACAGCTGGCCATGACCGGGAGATCCATGAGGTGGCGCACAATTGTCTCAGCGTCGTCCAGGTTAGGGGAGGGGTTGATTTCCTTGTCCCATAGCGCTCTAGCGAATCCTTGTGGTGGGCCGGGCGCTTGCAAGCTGACTTCGGTCGCCAGCTGGATGGTGTTTCCTCCGACACATTGGTGCGGCTGGCTACCGGGTTAAGCGAGCAGTGTGTCAAGATGCAGTGCGGCTTGGCAGGGTCGTGTTTCGGAGGACGCATGGCTCTCAACCTTGGCCTCTCCTGAGTCCGTAGGGGAGTTGCGGCGATGGGACAAGATTGTAACTACCAATTGAATATCATGAAATTTGGGAGAAAAAGGGGTAAAAGTTTTTTTTAAACTTTCAAAAAGTAAAATAAATGCATAGGCGGTAACGACAAGAGAATCGTTGAAGATGCATAAGGAGTAATAAGGGAGATTACTGAGTGTGTTTGGGAATAGTACTAAGTGAATGTGGATGTGAGTATTGTATGATTGACTAATTAACTGAACAGGGGTTTAGCCCCGGTGTGAGAGTTGTGTGAGTGTGGGATGATGTGTTAAGCTGGAAGTTTTTTCTAAAGAGTTCAACAAAGGGTATGGGAAAGGGAAATAGTAAGAGTAGGATGGAGGATCCGTGCTGGGAACCAAAAGGGCTGTGTAGTGTAATGGCAAAACAAATGGCAGGGGGGTACTGGACCAAACAGAAGACTGGACAAGATAGACAGATGGAGATTTCCCTGCTGATGGGACACTAAGCACAGAAAAACTGGAGTATGTGAGAGGCCAACTTGAAGAGGAAGAAGGACAAAATAAAAAGAAGACGCCACCAGCAGACGGAAATGGTGGCCTCCCACCTCCTCATAACCCACTTGAGGGTGGGCCTGTGCCAGGTGAAGGAGCTGTGGGATTAGGAGCTGTTGGAGGATCTGCAGAAGGTGCTGGAGCTGAAGACAGAAAGCAACCAGCCAAGACAAGAACCAGAACAAACGAGCAGAGAGAACAAGAGGCAGAGGAAGAGGTAGAGGCCGAGGGGCCCCTGGTGGAGCTGACGGAGGGAGAGACTGGAGCTGCTACAACTGTGGGAAGTTAGGGCATTTCTCAAGACACTGTCCTGGAGCAGGAGAAGGTCAAGGAGAGTGGCCGTCCCCACCTGTTGGCATGCAGGTGGACAACCCATTTGGAAGAGGAGGTGGGCGAGGGGCTACCAAACATAGGATGAGGCGGAAACAAAATAAGAAACTAATGAAGAAAACAATGTTGAAGAACCAGAAGAGACCTGTCAAATGCTAAAATTGACCACCTAGTCAACACAAAACCCCCTTATTGACATTTTAGTTAATAAATATACAATTATAACTGTAAGTCCCTCTGGATAAGAGTGTCTGCTAAATGACTAAAATGTAAAATACTGGGCACTGTAATGACAATACCAAGAAAACAACCAATTCCCGTTGAAACCATGCCTGTGGTATTACAAGATAATTCACACATT